CCCACACCCCCTCCCACCAGTCGCCGTTGCACGTTATAATTCCTTGGCCGCTTACCGTTTACTTGGATTCATTAAAAAAATCAGCCAGTTAAAAAGTGATATACGATCCTGTCTCAAAGTTGTAAGCGTCGGGTCTGATAGGGGGAGTCCAGACCCCCCGGACCCTCCCCCTGGATCCGCCACTGGATAAAACTTCACCTGAAGCAAAATGATCGTTCTCAAACATTCCGGCCGTGGTTTGCGGTTTGGAAGACGCTCAATTCTCACGACCTTAGCGCGCCCCTTCACTGATTACTTTTTTGAAAGCATCAACAACAGACCGAAACAAAGATCTCACCTTCGGTGGCTTGGCTTGGCTTGGTATTGTTAGCTAGTTTTGATTCGCATCAGGAAAAGCCGATCGAACTAGAGTCGTCAGCATTCAAATTATGCATCGGAAAAGCGGGATGAACTGCAGATAGGCGAACCTAAGTGTTCGCGATTGCGTGACGTCAGTTTTATAGATCTTTGTTTAGTTAATCTCCAGAAATCGTGCATGAAAATGATTCCGCACCCGGCAGCCGGTCAGACCATAATATTTTAATCGCATATCGTTGAAGCCAAAATGTTACTCTTAGACACAAAGATATTGCCAAGCAATTCGGCTCCGCAAAATTCTTGCGGTGTTTTAGGTTCCTAAATAAATAACCTCTAAACAAACGATACATTTGTTAACTAACTCAGAGTTCTTTCAGCAGAAAATAGTTTTCCACATAGGTCATGGAAACAAAAACCCCATTATTTCAAAGACTGGAAACTTGAAATGTAATTAATGTTTTTGCGCTTCTTGGTCACATCGACTGAAGTCAAAACTAAAACTTAGTAAGGTTGAGTGTGCAATCAATCAGGAGAATGATGCTGCAAAAATTACATAAAACACACAACTTTTAATTACGTAAAAGTAAACAAAAGATACACTTGTTGACTGAAAGAGTTCTTTTAGCTCTAAATGGTTTTCCACAAGTTGTTATCTAATCATTACATGACATCAGACGTAAAAATATAGGACATATTTCTAAATCACTAAGATTGACAGTCAAAAGCTAGTAAATTAAAATCAATATGAGGAAAAAAAACATAGGTTATTGCATCACATGTTTCTGTCACATTTCGACTGGTCTTGTAGCATGTTCTAGGAAAGCTACTCCGGAATAACTTTATAAATAAGCCATTTTCATGACTTTCATTTTCCCAGTTCAGTGAAATGATGAAGAATCTAAACAGCTTGTGCTACCAAAATGGTATTTGGTAAGAGGTCATCCATTGAAGAACTTGTAACACTGCAAGAATATATAATTCACGATATCTTAGAGTTTCTTGGCAATATCTTTGTGTGTAAGAATAACTGAATAAAATGACAATAGTCTGGCTGCCCTCAGAGTACGGAATCTTATTCAAGAACTATTGAATATTTAAAGATCTTTACAACTGATGTCACACAGTCACGAACACTCTGTCAGCGGTTCATTTGGCTTTCCCGATGGTTTTCCTCATGAAATCACAACTAGCTAACATTATCGTTGCGGAAGAACTGTTTGCATGCCTATAATTTTCGAGTTTACAAGATCAGGACTGTTTGAAACACAGCTAAGACAGGTCGACCAACATCCCAAAGAAACGCACTCTATGGCGTCAGCTTAAACTGAAGAATTCCTTGGAAGATGCTGTTGATCCGTTGATCCTGCGAAGACAACAACAGCTATGAGTATAAACTCAACATCTAATTTTTCCTCGATCGACTATGGGCTTTATCTGTACACCCAGCTCGCCACTGGGATCTCCGCCACTGGGATCTCCCTGGCGATTCTGTCGCCGATAGCAGTTATTAGTAACCTCCTGTTATTATTGACCATTCAAAAAGATCCTCTTAGATGCTTCCGTACACCAGCTTCGTATCTCATCATCGCTTTAGCTTTGGTTGATTTCACAACTGGCCTTGTTATCGAGCCTTTCTTTGTTGCTTATCGCCTGGCGAGTTTTTTGAAATGGTCACTGTATCCAAGCCAGTCATACTACAGTCTGTTCAGAATTGGAAGTTTTATTTCCATTGTAGGTCTCGGCTTGTCATTCTTGCTCGTTCTTGCCCTTATTTGGTCACAGTTCGTTGCCATAACTCACCCGCAACGTTACCGCTTTGCCATTACAAAGCGCAGGATCGTCGTATTTGTTGGTGTCTCGACGCTGTACTTGACAGGCTTTACTCTTCTACAATTCATTGGAGTCTCCCAAAGAGTCTTCCTTCAGATAGATCTCCATTTCCATGCCACAGTAATAACAATCCTGCTTTTCGTCGGTTCTGTCATACTTTTGAGGTCACTTCGTCAATTTGCCAAAGAATCTCGCCGAAATGAAAACGATGAAGGATTGAGACAACTTACGGTTGCCGCAACCTTGCTTCTATCAGCAATCCTTCTAGCTTGCACTCTTCCTTATATCATTACACGCCATATCTTGTTGTACACAGAACAGAAGACACCTCAAGCTATACAAGATTTATCTCTCCGCTGCCATAACAATTGTAGACGAATTGTTGTTTATCAAAGTAGCTTCTGACGCGTTCATTTACGCTTGGAGACTGCCATATTACATGAAGTCTCTGAAACAAGTGTTGACACGTGCTAGCCGGCAAATTGGAAATGAAGCCACTGAAATGGTAACCATGGAATGATCATAGCTTGGCCATAATGATATCACCAGACACAAGGTAATTTGTTGGTTGCACTAAACTAAAAAACCCCTGACTAATGAAAAATTACAGAAACTAGAGCAAGTAAATATGGTTCCAGTCGATATTTTACCTCTGAGAAAGATAAGGATAGATCACTCAAAACGAAAATATTTTACGCTATTGCGCTAACCTTTTCGGTCAAACTTCAGGGTTCATTAGGAGATACCTTAAACTTCATATGAAATGCAAAAGAAGGGCGCTACGAAACCATATTAAAGTGCGAGATATTCCGGGCCATCATAACAGAAATCTTAAGAAAATCAGTGTAAACATTTTCCCCGTGATTTGATCAATCAAATAAAAATAGTAATGAGAGAGAAATGTTTACTGTCATTTGCAAGAATCGGAAGTCATTAGATCCCCTCAATACTGAAATCTTGTCTTGAAGGATCGACAACTATGGAAGGCCTAAACCCTCTGTATTTCCGAACCTGGCCGATACTTGTCAACCTCTTTAGTGATTTTTATTGATCAAAGTCATTAGGCCACAAAATTCCCCGAACTATCACAATTCCTCTAAATACAAAAACGCACAACTCCATTCAACTCAAAAGAACAAATGTGCTCTATTTTAATCACTGGAGCATTTGATATCACCGCTCGGCCAGAAATAATTCTTCATCCCAGAACATCATCACTACATAAAGATTTGCTGTTAAAATACGTATTGTTTGGGAAAATATTAGGCTAATCGATAAAAGATATACAGTTTTAAAACAAATCTTAATAATGTACGTTTTCCGTAAATAGTTAGGTAGACTATATTCCTTAATGTTGCGACTTTTCTTGTTTATACTTTTGTCTCGTAAACCTTTACATGAATTTGGTAAATTTATAAAATGTGAATTAATTTCCTACGGTTTTAATTTGCACATTTCTGTACAGTGACCAAATAAAACTACCCCTATGTTTACCAGTTCTTTGTCACGGTGAGTATAATTCAATCGAGCAACTATGTAATACACCTATCTGGTAGTTATCAATATTATAACAATTGTATAAAAAAGCTGAAACATATTAAGCTGTAAACTAAGAACATTGAGAAACTTCTATTTAGAAACATCAACTCTTAT